ACTTTGAGTTGTTGAGCAGTAATTGCTCTAACCCCTATCACTAACCCTAGGTCTAACTCCTAACCCCAACCCCTAACCATAACCCTCAACCCTAACCCTTAACCCTAACCCCAACCCCGGCAGTATTGTGCCCACCAAGTGGGACCAAATAATCATATCTTACCAGGTTTACAAACACATATCAGCCTGTCATTGATCTGTGGTTGATTGTGAAGGTTGTTTTGGAATTCAAGGTTAATATTCCTTTTTTTAATTGAATGCTCACCTCCTGAGATGTCACATTCCCAACTGAAACAGAACCTTCAAGTTCTGATCATGTCAAGCCGAAGGTTTATGAATCCTAAGAGGGGAGGTGTATCTTGTGTTGTGCCATTTAAATTGCCCGAACCTTATGTCCATTATAAGTACACTAACCCGTATATCATTTTCGTGAAAACAGGCGAAGTGTCTTCGCATTCAAACTTTGATGTTGCTGTTTGGATGATCATGAGATCCATGTTTCACTGTTAGCAGGTGTAATCCATTCAGAAGGCCTGTTATTATATGGATCTTTTATTTTGTCGGGTGATAAAATGACGCTTGATGGTTTACTATATACAGGTATGGTGGTGGGAAATGTACATGCATAATGAACGCAGCTCGTGCTAGCCAAATACTTTTGCAAACAACCTAGAAATTTAAACAGTTATCTTTAAATGTGCTTTTTTGCCAGTTTTTGGTTTACAACAGACAGAATACTATAATAAATACTGTGAAAAGGGCCGGGGTTTGCACAAGTTCAGTAAACCCGCTGAGCGCAAATATTCATAAGACGGCAATCGGAATTTTTAAGGTTTGTAAATTGAGGTCCCTGCTTGTTAATGGGCCTGCGTTGTAGATGACGGTGGTGCTGTGGACGGTGATGGGGAAGATAAAGAAAAAGGAGAGGAATGTTAGAAAGAAGAGGGAATAGGAAAACATGCGATGATAAGAGGGTGGGAAGAAGAAGAAGAAGAAGTGGAAGATACGGAGGGAGGGGAGGAAGAGGAGGAGGATGCAGCAAGGGAAGAGGAAGAAAGAGGACGACATCGACGACAATGACGACGACAGTTCTTCCATAAAAACTCAAGGTCAGCATCTTTTCAAGGCTGTGCTTACGGGTCAGTTGATTAATGAGAACACAGGAGTTAGGCTGTCGATAGAAGCGAACAGGCGAGTGATGGACTGCGGGCCTGAGAACCATGACTGGAGCAGCCCGCGGCTCGAGCGAATGTCAGCTCTTACAAGGATTTCGACTTCTGGAAACTTGAAAATATGGCCGAATTCCGTGAAATGAGCTGCTATTTGCGAGCTGGCGTCTTTCCTCCCCAGCGTTGCTGTGTGCTGCGCAATCCACGTCCGCAGTAATCTCCTAATCTCTCTGACGTTGTTGGTTTGTCCGCAACTGCATCAGATCGGTAAACGACTCCAGACTTCTCCTGCAATGGCAGTGGGTCTTTCGGTCTCATGACCTGGAGCCTGATGGTGGCTTCCGGCCAGTGTGCAAATCCAACTCCAAGTGGAGTGGAAAGGCGGCTAACGGCTTCCGAAACGTTCCTCATGTACGGAAGCGCCCATCAAAATTTAGTGCCGGTAGGGTTGGGTTTCTGGTGTCATCCGCGTACGCATGGGTTGACAAAGTTGTGCGGGTAGTCATTGGCCCCCATCACCCGTCGAAGATATTGCAATTCAACAGCCATGTCTTCCATTTCATCGCAGTGCATCTCAACGTGCCGGTGTTGGGACTCTCTCAGATAGACCGCTTGAGGATGGTGGTACTGTCATTTGGGAAGCAAGGCTGTGCATGATGTTAAAGATTGTGGTTGGGCTGGTGGTGATGACAGTGAAGGTGTTCTTATGCTCTTGCATCAACTGCGCTGACAGAACAATCTGAGAGCAAGTGTAAGGCGCGTCAGTGGATTCCCCGATTTCGAAATTCATAGTTGACGCGTCCCTACAACGCTTGGAGTCATTGGTCTTCCAAAGCCACAATTTGAAATTTCTGGACTCAGTACGCGCATGATATCTTTGACGTCATCGAAAGGGATCAGGTGCTTGAATTCGCAAAACATTTTAACGCAATCTTCCCGACATACAATTTACGAGGGGAAACAACGAGAACAGTTGGCTATACTTCCTTAAGGTCCTCGACTGCCGGAAACATTGTGACAGCCTTAATCTATAGCGTTCGGCAAGGCAACAAATACAATTCAGAAGCTGAACACCAGCAGCTACCAGCCAATCAACCGCAAGTGCGGTTGCGTAAGGGCGTAGTACTGACGTATTGAGATGCATCAGAGTGCATTGACTGATGGGATTGCTGGATTACATTATCTTCGAGAAGTACGTGAAGCGAATAGTAATCTACGCAACTTCATTAACCAGCGCACACGCAAACAGGATGAGAGACCCATTCAAATCCGCCCCTCAACTTTTGGTGCGCGCTCCTGTACGCGAAGAACGTCTCGGAAACCGTCAGTCGTCGGCTCACACCACCTTGAGCTGGAGTTGCAGACAAACCAGAAGCAACCATCAGTCGCCAACTCATGAGGCCAATGATCCACTGCCACGACAAGAAATTCCCAAATCACCAAATGTGCAGCAGCAGCAGTGAGAAGGAATGAAGCTGGCTCTCAATTCTTTTGACGGGATCCGGTAACATATTCAACTTTCATGGGGTCGCAATTCTCTCAAAGAACGACAACTGCGTGAACTGCAAGTTTCTTAAGTCATGGATCTCCCGTCCCTGGTCGATCAACAAACGCGGTGACCTCCCAAGCCCATATTCTCTGCCGAGACTTCACTTGGGCAGATTAATTAGCCGTGCAGGAGGCTGAGGGCGACCGAAAATTCCGACGACAGTGAGCCAAAATGTCGGGTAATTATCACGCCAAGAATCCGCAACAGGTTCCTTCTGTCCGCTAACTACTCGAGATTGTTAACAAGTCATCATCGCACCAAATAGGACCCCAGCGACGAATGCTGGAGTCATTAATTATATGGCGGATTTGAAAGGACGGCCTGTAAATACTCCACATTTTGTGCCTTCATCGCTCTTATCTGCGACTGTGTCTGATGACGGGTTCTAGTGACAATGCGAAACGCCAAGCCACCAGGCTACTTTTTGTATCTATCGCATCTTTTTCTGCCAAGCAGACTGTTACAGAACCTATTTGCGTCGCATCTTTAAGTACTGCAAAAAGGCACGCAAACTTTATATGGACCTCAAAACTACCTTACAAACTTTGTGAAGAATTGCCGGAACCGTCATCGAAATTGAACAGCCGAACTCTGTCGCGCAAAATTCTTCATGCTAACTGGCCATGGCATGTCACGGGGACATAAGAGAATCATCAAAATTCCTCATGTTCTGTTTCAGTAGCATGCCGACTAGGGGCTGATATACTGGCTTCCCGGATACAGTAGCTGTGTTAACGCATGAAATGTTAGCCAAAAGTCCGAAATGTGTTCTAGACTCGAAAAGATTACTTAAGTAGAATTGTAGTATTTATTACCGTGCAACATAATCAAAAATATTTCGGTTACTTCGAGATGCCAGCTTTGGATGAACTTCCCGACCGCCTGCTAAAACTGTACTCTGTGAACAATGATTACTTATTTGGCATGCAATTTTCTCATTGATTTTCGGTGCTCTTATAAACTCAAATATATTTTATAGAAAACAAAACTGAAAATATTCCTCTGTCTGCTCATTTGGTAGTAACTTGCGTCTCCTTCAAATTTTATACTTGAAGTAAGGGTAAATTTGGTTTTAGAAAAGTTTCTGTTGGAATTTGTAAGACCATGAAATACCAGTTCGTAAAACATCGTGTCCCTTTATATATTAACGTTATTTGTAAAGCTTTTAATATGATTCAGATCAACTGCCAAAATGTATGAACCCCATATGTTTTCCTCTAAATAGCTTAAAATAATGCCTGATTTCCCGTACACGGAAAATACACAACTTGTCGTTTGAAACCTGTGAATGCGAGTGTAACGGCAGGTAATGTTCGAAATTATTCGGGAATTGAAAAAGTCCTTTAAAACCGACTTATACCCTTCTCTCAAGTATAAAATTTAAAGGAGACGTAACTTGCTACCAAATAAATAGAAAAGAAACCTTTTCATTCATGTTTTCTATGAAATATACTTGAATTTTTAAGGGCACCAAAGATCAGTGAAAAAAATTCTTTTTCCCTATGTAGTCATTTTTACTGTGTGAAGTTCTTGCAGGCGGTCGGAGAGGAGTTCGTCGAAAAGCCGGCATCCCGAAGTAACTGAAATATCATTTGATTATGTTGCATGGCAATTAATACTGCAACCCTTTTTAAGTAAGCATTTCAGGTCTAAAACGCATTTCAGAATTCCAGCTAGCATTTCATGAGTTAGCACACCTACTGTACTCTTAAAACCGTGTGCACTAAAAATACCACATTTGCGGTAAAAAAATTTCCAAAACAAAAGACTTTAGCTCGTTTTTTCTTCAACTTTCAATTTTTACGAGCTGACTACTACAATTCTGCAGCGCACATTCTATGCATTAAAAATTAACTTACCTTATTGTTAATTATTGTAATCGCGACGACGCTGACAACCGCTAAGCCAGCCAGCAGGCTGGTGAAGCACGTGTACTAAAACAGGATGGGATGAAAAATTTGTGGAATGCATATACGCAAATAAGTGGTCGTTATTTCACTGGCAAGAAGTCGTGCGCTCGGCGAAAATCTGAATCTCAGACGATAGGCGGTTTGATGGCAAACTGAAACGGCCCACAGGAAAGTTAACAAATCAAACGCATGGAAAGTCAGATAAGCGCCGGTGCTGTTGTGCAACCTAACGTTTAAATTGTATAAGTGACAGCTATGGTAGGAAATACACCCCATTATCTTCCCCTAGAAGTAGTCCGATCAGTCGGTACGCTACCGATGGGCATAAACTTTCCTGTTGTGTTTGGGGTAAGGGTCGCGATCGGAATGCCGTTAGGAGCTAGGGCTAAACTCAAATGTTCGAACGTTAATCGGCGCAGGGGCGGAGGCGTCCCACAGCTGAGGTAATCGGGTCTCCGGACTCGTGTCCTCCTCAGTGAAGAAATTTAAGCATGGTGGAGGCTGTGTGTGCGACAGGTCGTACGCGGCACGCCCAGACGGGCCGTTTAGGTTAGTTCCCCGCTGCTCCAGAGCCAACATTCGACCATCTATACGGTGTACTGCTATCAGAACAAGAAGGGTCAGAGGAGGGAGAGAGTGCGGTAGATGCAGGGCCATAATTCCTACCTAAAAAGGAAATCATTCACAAGTAACCGGTTGTTTTGTGGCGTCTTATCGGTGAGAGTATATTCAGAGTGTCACCAATTATCGCGCCTCAGTCCTGCTTAAGCGGAGATTGCGAATGACACCAGTTGGAGTTGTATATTGTGCCTTACGTAGACCAACGACAAAATCCTTCCTGTCCTCTATTGGAAGACAGTCTTTTCTTCTCACTCACGTTGATGAGGACCGAACTACGCCGGCGGAAACCTGCCAAATCACCTGGTCCAGATAGAATTCATCCACTTGTCCTCTGAGAATTACCTGACCTACTGTGTGAGCCGGTGTCCATGATATTTCAGAAGTCCATGGAAGAAAGCGAACTGCCGGAGAAATGGAAAGCGGTCCATAATTCTCCAATCTATAAAGGAGGATTCAGGTTGGAGCCCGAAAATTACCGTCCTACTAGTTTAACCTGCATTCTGTGCAGGGTCATGGAACGACTTATTAAAAGGCATTTAATGTCGTATCTGGAGCAGAGGGACATGTTGTGTTCTGCTCAGCTGGATTTCGTCGTGGCCACTCCTGTCTTACAAGCAGTCTTTACTCGCAGAAAAAATGGACATGAGCCTTAGACCATGTCCGTCCAATGGATGTCATCTTCTTTGACTTTAAGAAGGCTTTTGATAGCATTCCCCATGGACGACTCCTACGGAAGATTTAGGAGTGTGGAATACAGGGCAACATTTTTAAGTGGATTAAAGGTTTCCTGTCATGCACGCTCCGAAAAGTTATTGTTGTTAATGCTGCATCTGAATGGGTGCCAGTAAAAAGCGGCGTTCCGCAAGGCTTAGTCTTGGGTCCTCTCCTCTTCCTCATCTATATAAATGACCGCGCTGCAGACCTCGAATGTGATGGCAGCATGTTTACAGATGATGTAAAGGTCTGGAGAAAAATCAGCTGCGTTGACGGCGCGCAGAAACTACAGGAAGATGTTAGTAAGCTGGCTGCATGGTCCAGCAAGTCGCTTCTAGCGTTTAACGTATCCAAATGTGCAGTATTGCGACTAGAATCTGGTCGGACGCGCTTCCCAAAACACCAGTACACCATAAATGGGGTTCCACTAAAAGAAGTGGACACGCACAAAGACCTAAGCTCAAACATGCTGCCCTCTCAGCTCTGCAAAGAGTCGTCCAAAAGGCAACCAGTATCATGCACTGGATTAGGCGTGCTTTCAAAATCTTTCCTCCAAAACTCTTCTTACAGATATTGGGTACGTTCGTAAGACCGTATATGGAATACGGAATGCCATCATGGATGCCCTGGATGAAGAAGGACGGTGATGCCATAGAGAAGGAGCAACAACGGACCACGAAACTCGTGGACGGTCGCAGGACTCTGTCATATCCAGAAAGACTGACCCAGCTAAACCTGTTAATCCTATCTTATAGACAAATGAGATGTGACCTTTTATTGACATTCCGCACTATCCACGGGCATGAATGTTCGTTCAAAACTGACGACTTCTTTGAATTCACAACCATGGGTCACCTGTGCGGTCATCCGTACAAAGTCAAGCGGGAGCGTACACGCCTAGACCATCTGAAGTTTTCCTTCAGCCAGCGTGTTGTTCGACCGTGGAACTCACTCCCAAGTGAAATAGTGACATCTGATACAATGGCTGTATTCAAATGGCAGCTGGATCGTTTGATCTTTGATAAACGACGACTCTCACTACAGGACTATCTGTGGCCAACTATAAATTTCATTTCTTGATTTCATTTCTGTGTAACACATCCCTGCCTTTTAATTAAATTGCTCCTCTCAAACTATGCAAATGACTGCACTTTATGCTGATTGTATATAACTGCACTTAAAATTTCATCTGTATATTGAAAAGACCGCTGGCCGCACCCTTCGAAGTCCCGCACTGTAAAACGTTATCCGAGAACAAATATGTTACTGACAAAATGTAAGAAAGATGTGCATTTAACACTTCTATTGTATGGACCGCTTTCAATAGGGTCATCAAGGGCATTGCCTATCACCCTAAAATACACTACTATTATTATTATTATTATTACAGAAGCCTGGCAGCTATCAGAGCCCCCCTAGCGACGCCGGCTCTAGGTCCGCGCACGCCAGTACGAGTGTCCGTGAATAAACTTAAGTTGTGACAACTCTGTGAGGCAGAATATGAAAGTCGTTGCTTGCGACAGTTAACCCGCCAGGTTTATGAGATGGTGAGATATTCGGGTGAGAAATACAGTCATGTGCATCATTCGACTTTGCGCCCTTATAATCTTACCTTTGTAACTTTGTTATAAACCAACCTGGCAGGAGGGGTTGATGGTGAATGGCTTCTCGGGCGGTACTGGCAAGTGCATCCAGCTTTTGTTTTCACTGAATGTACCGTCAGTCACATTTATGCTAAAGTTGGCCTGACTGAACCAGCACTGAATTGTCGCACTTGCAGATTTATACATCGAAGAAGATAAAGTGTAAATTTTTTTACGATAAAGCTTATTATAGGAATCTTGACTGTCTATAGGGCGTTGTTTCAATTCGTAGTTTAGTTCTTTCCTACATCGGGGAGTTGAAAAATAACCAGATAAAGCTAAGTGTTACATATAAATATTTCCAGTCTGTGGTCCGAAACGTTGGATTGGAGTCTTCGGCAGACAAAATCCCGCACACGTTTGACGTTGTTTCACGGTTTCTGACGCTAATCATCTAGGCACCAACTCCATCCTGCTCGCATTTGCGGACGCGTAAAGCCGGTTTCAATCAACTTATTCGTCCTCTTGCGTAAATATTTCAGTCGATGAAGTCCTTGACCACCACGTGAGGGTTTAGCTGCTGTTTTGTAATGCTCTACAGTGACACCACTCCCGTGTATTTTACCGAAGGAGTTGCCTAACTACAAGTCGGCTTATGTCAGTCGCCTTTTGGATATTTCAAAATAAATTCAGTCAATTTTTGTCTCTTTCTGATAAAGCGCATTAGCTTTGAACTGATTTAGTGGACGGTTTCTAATTCCGCAGACATTACTTTCTACTAGTTCTGCTGCGTCCGTTTATAAAACATGTCAGAAAGGATTCGCAGGGCGGAGAAGTGGCATATTCAAGTGTCCAGTTCGCTATTTCCGTTTGACTAATAAAAATCAATAAACTCAGTCCAGGCGTTGAGTGTATTCACGGTGAAATAACCAGCAGAGAATGAGGCAGCCTGTGTTGGCTTATTTATTTCCGTCATACCGCGTACCCGTGGCACCCGGCTGGAAGGAATCTTAAATTTTTAAAAATATGACATATTATAATTTAAACTGGATTTCATTGTACTATCACTGGTCCAAGGCACACTAGTCTCTTCTCGCCAACGCGTACACACTACTGCACCTAGTCCAGTCCTAGAAACCTTACTATCACGAAAGTTTAGTATCACGGTTAACAGGGATTTAAGCCGTGACTTCATGATAGGGTGCTTTGTTTCAAGCAAGATTAAGGTTGGATTTTAGCCAATCAGTCTACTGACTCGATATCATAATTTTTTCGTTGTGTCTAGCTGCATTTCTTAAGGTTTTAAAAAGAGTGTGGCAGGTTAGGCCTGACGGACTTAGCGGTTAAAGAACGTACCCCATCTGAAAACCACCGGTTATCTGACCTCTCACTTAGGAAACCGAAAACTGCGAGTAGAAGAAGCAGTACTCCGCTGGTCAGGCAGATGTAGGCCACAGTGTCATAGGTGAATTTGGTTTCTCTGCGTAGGTCACGCGTGAACTCGGAGGCCAGTAGGTCAGCGTCAAAATCAACCATTGTGTAAAGTGTACGCGAAGCACCGAAGACAGCGAGAACTCCAATAACCTAATAAAAGGAAAGTGATATTTTGCGAAGTCTTGGAGACCGAAGTTAGGTAGAAGTCCACTTCTTGTCATTCTTCTCATTATCTTTCACCTTCTGCTCGAAGACTCTGAGTGTCCTGCGCGAACGTCCTAAAACTGCCTTAAAGTAGTCAGATCGACTAAATGAATGGGTTGTTTGCCGTACCTAGATGGTCTGCTATCGCGAGGCACTAAGTGCTCCGGCATGGAAAGATTTTCACCGACGGGATAACTCGGTCCTCATGGAAATACTTCGGGAAGACTGGGGGACTGAGAGTTAGACTGCCTTGGCTTCTTGTTAGTGTGACCTTTATGGCACGCATATAAAATCCAAGGATGCTACATGTACTACGAACCGGGTCGTGTCTGTCACAGGCAAACTGTTTGACTAAGTTCGTCGACCACTGCACCCAAGCTCACCGATCGTCTGGCCAACAGGTGAGGGATGAAAAAGTGAGGTAGATGTAAAGCAAGTCTTTCCACTACAAAATAGTTCAGATGCAAGCCGCCGGCGCTGCGCCTACTCTGTGGGGCAGGCAATGGATGTGGTCTCTTGCGAAGGCTAAACTGTCTGAGGGTTTAAATTAATAAAACGCACACAAAATACTCGAAGAAGTCGAGTCCGTTACTGCTGAAAGTGGTGAGAGCTGCTGAGGCAGTTGACGTGGTCAGTCGTCCCCTTCCGCGAGTATGTGAAGTTTAACTCTCGAAGAGTTTACCACCATACTAAATTCCGTGATAATTATTGCGAGCGGTTTTTTTATAGCCTGAACGCCTTATCTAAGTAGGCGTGTCTTTGAGGGTGCGATTGCTGACAGTTGAAATCTAACCTGCGCACAGTCTGCCTACTAAGTGCCCTTCTAACCAACCTCTCTGGAGAAAATGGTTTTGAATCCTAGTACCTATGGTGGCAGTACGGTAGATCATGCAGCCTGTGTATATTACTGGCTGTCCGTTAGCAGTTTATGAATATTACGCAGTTATTCCGCTGCATCTGATGAACGTCGGTTAAGGAAGCCTGAGATTAAAAGGCAAAAGTGTCAAAACTGCAATATCTGCCAGAGAGCTCGCGGAAAAACGCTGAGAGGGCCACTGGTAAGCCGAGCCCCTCGCAGTCCTGTCATGCAGTATCAGCTATACCGACGAAACACGTGTGTTGGCTTCTAGTCATTACCTGTTCTGTCAATACGGCAAATAATACAGCAAGTTTCAAATGTATTCGATATCGCGGTCAATCACACCAATAAGCAGATATCTTATTTGAACTGCTGTCATCTCTGCTTCTTTCTCCTCACCCGAGGGCCTCCTTTGTGCTCCAGATGAAACTCCTTCAGAAAATATCGCATTAGCTGGACGCTTTGAGACACTCTACATCATGCCACTACTGTCCCAGAAGGTACGTTGTTGTGACTTGCAGATGAATCTGTCTATAATGCACCGGACCTGTCTGGTACCTACTCCACTCACTCATACGAACAAACATTCTCAAATGACGGGAATTTTCAGGATAAAACTCATGGCCGGAGCGCATTTAGTACCGAGAACTATCTACTGTAGTTATTAAAGTAGACGTTATTCTATAGTTATTTTGTCCAGAGTCCAGTTACGGGATAAAAATGAATGGAGGCTGACGTGGGAGCGGTGGTCGGCAAGACCCAACAGCTACCAATACGCACACACATGTCCCGGCCTGTAGCTTCACTTGTACCTGGCGTTGAGGAAACGAGAGGACCTAGATCCTCTATCACAAGGGAAGGCCCATATTTAAAAGCATCCGTTGAAACCTGACCTTCAGTCCCGAAGGTAACCGATTGGTCAGCCTTCTAAACCACGGCTGCCAGTGCGTACCGACAGCTGAAAGACTCGTTTGGTTGATTAAAGCAACGAACGCAAATTATGACTGCGAGCTAAGTCAACCTAACCTTCACGGTTATCTCCCGGTTACCAAAGACTTGTCCCAGTCGACCCATTTGGATGAGCGTATTTGGTGACATGGGGTCAGCTTTCGTCTACCGACTGTTAACCTCATGGACGATAATAGGGAAAATACCACGTAACTACGGCACCTCTGCTGATGCCTGTATGAATAAGTAGGACCCCCGTTTTGGGCTAGTGCAATAGCGGCGAGAACGGAACGAGCCATAATCCGTAAGACTGATTAACTCTACGTCCGGTTTGTGAACCTTGCATTTTCCACTCAAATGCTTGCCTCACTTATCCCGGCTGGCGAGGGCCTGGAGCTATTGTAATAGTCTTCGAAACTGTCAAGTAGCCCCGAAAACGTTTTGCTTAAGTCTAAACACAACCTTCTTTGAGGCAGTGGTAGGTTAGACCCCCACTTGGTTTGCTTGATACTCAATCACCATGCTGCTACCAGACGAGGCAGGCCGTAAATGGACTCTGGAATTCCTTCATCGATCCACTAAGGCTTCTGAGCTAACAGAAGCAAGACCTCGAGAATCAATAGTTCACATCGGACCCTTGTAACCCATAAGGCTTATCTAACTATGCATCAAGCCGACTAGGATTTTGGTCAACGCCAGGCCGCAAATTTGGGAGGACCGAGCTCTTAACTACTGCTGCCGAGTTGAAATTCCGATTTTTGTCGGTTGACGTCGGGCCGTGATGATCGAATATAACTTCGAGATTCGACCTGACCAAAGCTGGGTCAGAGGTTGTGATGCTAAAAACGCCGCCAGCGGTATTTGCATGATACTGCGAGTTCCGCTGCGTCATCATGACTCCTGTTGTACAATGAAACCGAGGGTCGCAAACCGCCCCACCATTCGGTTGCGTGATTTAAAATTACATTAAGACATTCCTCACAGCAGCCCGCTGCCTCGGACACAACGAAACTGCGTTACTACATAACTCAGGTGAAACAACCATCTGACGAGGAAGTTCCAAAACTCGACGTTTGTTACCCACTACTTTTGATACGTATTCAGCCAACCATCCAAAATCTAGGAAGATGACCAAGATAGATTTCCTCAAATGTGCAGCAACACTGGCCTTGGTCTTTCGTCTTCCCTGCGGCGGAGGAGAAGCTAGTCCATGGAGAAAACTCCATCTAGGGGCCACAGACATAACAGTTCTCACTTAGTGGAATACTTGTCTCACTGCCACAAGAGAGTTGGTGTCAAGGGAACTTTGCGAGAGAATTCGATGATGCAGTCATTTCTCACTTACCTAGATGCACATTAACCGACAAATCTCTGACAGTGACCGGAGGGAACTCCTCTGACAGTCTGCTCCCATGACCTCAAGCGCGACCTCCCAATCTCGTGGCTCTAGTCCGGCCCAGCATCCCCGTCAATTTTCCGCCTGGACCAAGTCGACGTCCAGCGACGGCTTGTTGCCGATCCACGTTGCATCCCTCGTTGATTGGCTGCAGGCCGAAAAAGTCCGGGCTCACGCATGCACGTCGCACCGGGGAACATACTGCCTGGCACTTAGCTTACGAAGAAACTCCCTGCCACTTGCGGCAGCAAAGTCTATCTTCCCCAACTTTTAACTAGAGGCATCATGTCCTGTCGAACCATCGCACTGTTTCGCCCCCTAATCAACCATGGTAGCTAAATATTGTACCGAGAAATATCAAACTGACTCGCAAGCTGTGTGCCAGTGTTGATTCCAACAGACCACCTATATGACTCTACCAGCGTAGAAACTGCGGACGAATGCCGGGAAATTGGGTGCCACTTGTATACAGTAGGTGGGATAACTCATGAAATGTCACCCGAAATTCCGTAGTGAGTTTTTGTTTAGAAAAGATTAGTCAAGCGGAGTTGTAAAACTAATCGTCTTGCAGCATAATTCTACAATAATTCAGTTACCGCAGGATACCGGCTTTCGAACAAACTCCTTTCCGACGGCATGCAAAAACGGGTATAATTCGGTTTTTAGAAAATTTCTAATTGCGAGAATTTTTAATACCGTGAAATGGCCGTTTATAAAACTTCATGTCTGTGCATTTACCAATGTGACTTCCAAAGTTAATAATATGGCTCAAGTCCACTGTTATATTTTATGAACCCCATATAGTTTCCTCTTAATACCGTACAGCAGTGCATGGGTTTCCGTAGGCGGAAAATATATGGCTTGTAGTTTGTAATCCCTGAATGCAGGTGTAATGGCAGGTCGGGTTCAAAATTATTCGGGAATCGGAAGAGTTTTTAAAAAACCGAATTTTACCCTTTTCCGACTTTAGAATTGGAAGAAGACTTAATTTTCCACAGAATGTGCAAAAGACTAACATTTTTATGCGTGTTCTCCACGAAACATAATTGAGTTTTTAAAGGCATCGAAAATAAATGAGAAAAACGCATGCTAACTATGTAGTCATTTTTACAGAGTATAGCTTTTGCATGCAGCCGGAAAAGAGTCCTGCCGAAAGCTAGCATCCTGGGTTAACTGAAGTATTGTAGAATTATGCTGCGTGATTATTAGTATAACAACCCTACTTGATTAATCTTTTCGAAATGAAAACGCATTTCGAAATTTCGGTTGACATTCCATGAGTTAGCCCACATACGCTACCACCATCCTGGATGCCATCAGCAACTCCGACTGTGTGAACTGAGCTGGCAACATCAAAGTAGACAGCAGCAAGGCTGTGTTCTCGCCACAAATGTATTCACCCCAATGCTGTTCGAAATACTGATTAAAGCCTAACGGGAGGATGGCCAACGTGTCAACACTAACTAGCGAACTGACGGGAAATTATCCAACTTCGGTTGTACGTCGGCGATCTCTGAAACCTCCCAGCCTAGGTGTGCATGACACTCTCTTAATTGACGACTGTGCTTGGAGCGCTAGAGTAGGAATGGACATATAGCGAAGCCCAAGCCTCTATGCCTACGGACGCACCAGCTTTGGACAAATCGTCATCACGCTGAAAACGAGTATCACACCTTAACCAGCCCTTCCCGCCAA